AGCACTCCAGATGTGGCCTCACCAGGGCAGAGCAGAGGGGGAGGAGAACCTCCCTCAACCTGCTGGCCACACTCTTCCTCATGCACTCCAAGGCACCATTGGCCTTCTTGGCCACGAGGGCACCTTGCTGGCTTGTGGGCAAGTTGTTGTCCCCCAGCACTCCCAGGTCCTTCTCGGCCGAGCTGCTCTCCAGCAGGTCAACTCCCAGCCTGTACTGGTCCATGGGGTTATTCCTCCCGAGGTGCAGGACCCTACGCTTGCCCTTGTTGAACTTCATCGGGTTCCTCCCTGCGCAAATCTCCAGTCTACCTAGATGAGAGCAATTCTTCGCATTTTTCCCCTGCAATCCCCCAAATACGTGATTCCCTCACCTTTTTTATCCTCTAAGCTCCTCTAGAGGAGGAAAAGCCAATCTCTTCCTCCAACACCACTCCACTCCTTCAAACACTCTTTGCGCTGCCAAGCATGAAACACCGTAAAATACCACATTCTTGTAAGAGGGGAAAATGCACGTACAGCATCGGATGTCACTCCGCTGGGGAACGGCAAGGGGAGAAACCCCGCGGCTGTTTCTCCATCCCACCCGATGAATTGCTGCCAGCGATTTCCCTGCCAACAACAAGGGGATGCTTTGCACCAGGCGGGCTTTGCCGGTCGCGGCTGTACAAAGAAAACCAGAGCAGATGCTCCCGACATGGTTGCCTCTGGGATGAAGCACAGCAGACAGCCGTGTTGAACCGAAACCACGGGGGAAGTTTTCTGGTTGGTAGAAGGTGACAGCCCACCCTGGGAGGTGGCCAGGGCAGGAGCCCTGGGGTCTTCAGACCCCCCGTTATCTCCATCCTACACAGAGCCGGTGGTGTCGTTGACTTTACGACTCTAAATTATTGATGTGGGAAATGTCGAATCACAAAACTGCAGAAAAAGAAATTTTATGAGTGTGAAATGGAAACGCTGCTCGCACTGTCCTTCGATGCAGCCTCTCGCTTCGGCTCTCGCTAAAGTCCAGTCACTTGGTCTTGCAAGGAGAGGACAAGGGAGGAAAATTCTCCCCAGTTCACACTTCAGATCTGTTATCTGGCTTTGCGTGGCAGATTGAAGAGGGAGGTTGTGCTCTGTGTTTGCAACTGAAAATGAAACGTGATAACATCTCCAGAGTGGAAAATTACAGAGGCTAAGAGCAAGTAAAGCCTGTAGCGGTACGAATTCGGCTCCTGACGGAGCCAAGGCTAGGTGCCTCAGGGCGCTGCCTTCACCTCGCCATGGCAGCCCTGGGGTTCCTCTCTCCTGAACTCAAAAATGTGGGGTTTAAGATTATTCCTGCTTGAAACACATGCCAGGAGGAAAGGACGAGACGGTGGACTCAGTGTGCAAAAATCAGCGCAGGACAGAAATGCAGGAATTTATTAAAGAAATCCATTGGGAGGGGAACGACTTTTCTGCTCGGACAGAAGGATGTGCTTCCCCGTAACACCCACGTTACCCTGCGTGCCGCAGACCCACCTCAGGAGGATGCTAAAGGATTTTTAGCTGAAGCAAAGAACAGCATCACTTTGCTGCTGAGCCCCGTCTGCAGGGCCCTCGCAGGGATGGCACCGCCGCCTCTTACCTGGGTCATCTTGGCGAGATCCAGCGAGGGCCGTTGCTCCTGAACCTCCTCCGGTCTCCGTCGCTTGACTCCGACCTTTTTGTCATTCAGGACGCAGGGTTGCGAGCGGCTTCGGGAGAGCCCACCAGCCCGTCGCCCCAGCTCCGGCGTGGAGGCAGGTGTGCTGCTTGCCGAGGGCGGGCAGTACTCCGAGGACGAGAAGCGGTCATGAGAGCAGGAGAGGGACCTCTGCATGTCCACTCGGTCTCCTCCATGCCCACTGGTGGCCGATTTCCTCGGCTGGGCTGCCGGCTGCCAAGGATGGGATGCTCGCCGCAGAGCGGGTTGGACCGTGAGGGCAGGCTGAAGCTCGAGCTCCTCTGCATGGTGGCAAAGCCGTTGGAGTAGCGTTGTACGCTTCCACCGCTGTAACATCGCCGTTTCTCAACCGGGGTCCAAACCTTCGAGCCTAAGGGTCTCCATGAGGTCCCGCAGCTTGACATTTCATCCGAAAATGAGAGCGAGCGGCACTGACGCTTGCTGGGGGGGGCTGAGGGGTTGCCGTGGGGGTCGCTGAGGCTGAGGTCTTTAATCAGGTTGGTGACGGAGCAGGTGCTGGCCGTCTCCGTCGTCCAGCGCGAGCCCTCCTCGCCCTTGTCCGACAAGCAGTCCCAGATGCTGGTACCCGGCTGCTCGAGCTGAAGTGGACATTTCCTACTGAGATCTCTCCATCTGTCATTTTCTGGTTCAGAAAGGAGATAAAAAAAAAAAAACAAAACAAAAAACAAACAAACAACACACAGGCACAGGCATTAGCGTTAATTAATTCTGCAATTCGCTTTCTACATCCATAAACAAAAAGAGTAGCATATGGGACTTTTTCCAGTACAAATTAATTAACTCTTGGAATATGGTTTTCTGAACTGCCAGCAGAGCGGTTGCTGCAGTGTAGATGGAGAGAGAGAGAGACAAAGTGATAATCGCAGCAGGAGCAAAACTGCTAGAAGAAGATAAAAACATGCCTTTGAACACCCAGATTACACCAACTAAGGGAAATTCAGCAATATAAAATGGTACAGCCATTGCCTTATCTCTGTGCTAAATCACGTCTCAGGTTTGTCCTGGGCTCCACGATCAACGAGAGGTTTACAAAACCTGGAAATGAAGAGCACAAAACTGTAGCACTGTTGGGGCGAGATGGACCTCGGGGTACAAAACACCAGAAAGGAGATGAGACAGCAGTTGGGATGGTCCTAACAGCAAAGGGATGCCCCCCAGGCATCGAGCTGCCCGTCATAGCACAGAAATCCCAACAAGGTCATCAGAGCCTACGGGAAACCAACAGCTATCCCGACATCCATCGGGCTGTCCTCCTCTCAGCCACTGCTAAAACAGCATTGCTTCGGTGAAACCAACTTATCCTCACTAAGGCTCTGAGCATCTCTCCCAAACCGACCCAAAGACATCGTGTCTACCAAAAGTCGGTCCCCATAACAAGCTCCAAGGTGGCCAATGCTATAACAGATGAACAATAAACCTCCACAAAGGTTCTTTGCAAGATGCTGTTCTGAGATCCCTGTTGCGAGGCTCATCGTCCGTCTCCCCTCCATCCCCCAAATCTGGGGCCACTTGGGTGCCTGGTTACCCAGACGGGGCGAGAAGGTGCTACGGAACCGGAGACCCACACCCTCCTACTCTTCTGCGGCAACCTGGGCTTAGCATCTCTTCGGGGTGGCCTGGAAAATCCCGGGTGTACCTAACACAGCGAATTGTTTGCAGTGCTGTAACAAACATAACGCTGAAGCATTTAATTAAAGGAACAAATTGCTTAATAGATTCAGTTCCTTTTTTTTAAAATACACTCTCTAAATATTTTCTCCCTCTCTCTTTCATTCAGTTTTTTACACAGGAATTTGCTCCTCCTGCAAATCTGGCTTGCATTGACATCCTTCCAACGCAGCACAGCAAAAGACGGTGGTGACCTGTTGCACGGTTTCGGGGCCAGCATAAAGACAATCCTTATATCAGACGGCTTTTGCAGGGCCTGGGTAAAGCTCCGAGAAACCTCCACCTCCAAAGTCCACGGGCTGCAACGTATACGGCTATGGGCAGCTCCACGGAGGAAGACTGCAAACCTGGCTTCAGCTGTATTCTGAAATCCCACTGATGACCGTGTCGAAAGAGAGGATTAAGGGTGATGATTTCATTCCCGCATATGGTCCCGCTGACAATGAAAGAAGAAAGCAAAACATCATCAAGGTCTGGCTGCCCGGCGGAGGCTGCGCGGGCAAACGGGGCTCTCTGCAGATACGTCGTTGATGCTCAACAGGAAAACCATGTGTAGGACAACCCCATCGGCTGGTGCAATGGAAAAAAGTAATCACCCCACAGACCTTCTCCGGTGACTGTTTTTGTCGTCGGCTGCTGCAACCAGAGGTGAACCGTGCCGGCTAACCGTCGCTGCGAAGTTTCAGATGATCGTATCTAAATCGTGCGATGTTTTTTAGGGGTTTGGGGGTTTTTCCATTCAGGTAACTGAAGGATGAATTAAAAGCCGTACCCAGCCCGCAGCTGTAGGTACCAGCCTGACGGGGAAGATGCAACGGTGCTGAACGCTTCCGACCAAGGCTCGGTTTCAAGTCAGGAGGACAGATTTGGGGCCCTTTACACCACTCTTGGCCAGTTTTCCCATTTCTCCCTGCATCCAGCTGCCAGGGTAACAGCTCCAGCCACAAACAGCCTGGCTCTGCCCTCAATAACCGCAGGGCATTTTAACTGTTGCTGTCCTTACTTTAATAAACACAATGAAAAGTGAGAAATCTGCGCTAAACAACTACATCTATGTTTAGATCTTTATTATTTTCCCTCTGTATTATGCTGCCAACAGAGAGATTTCTTGGGTCAGGTCAGCAGACAAAAGAAACAGAAATAGAAGCCGATTTTTCATGGCAAGCTGCCACGATCCTCTGGCCGGAGACGTCACGCTGTACAAAAGGCCTTGGTGAGGAGGATACGGGCCACCTTCCTCTTTCACCCCTGCTTCGGCACAAACAGCTATAAATCTTCCAAACCTTGCAAAGAAAACGGTAACTGCACCGTTATCCCCTGCACCAGCTTGGGGTTATTTGCTTTTCCCCTTGCACCGTGGGAGCTGGGTTTTGGGCAGGGTAAGGAGGAGCCTGGTCCCCCCCCAAACCCCCGAGCATCACTGACCGGTCCCAAACTACCAGATAATCCCAGAAAATGTGGGTTTTTTTTTTTCAGTGCAAAGAGAAAACTCTTTGCCCCAAGAGAAATTGAAAATGAGGTAGTCTACGGGCTGAGGGTGTAATTAAAGGACTCGGGAAAGCCTTCTTGAGGGAAAGCGGTTGGTTTTCTGTTCAATTTTTTAAGACTAAGATTCACATCCTGAGCAGGCTGATAACGATAATTGCAGTGGAGCCATTAATACTGCTGCAGTTAAGCATGCATTAATTTTCTTAAATTATAAACTTCAGCCTGGTTTACCCTCAGGCAGTAATTTGTTCCAGGATAAAACCCACCGTGAGAATCCCTCGGTTTGCAAATGAGCTGCTTCGCTGGAAAACTCTCCTTTGCCTATTGGAAAAACAACAGGAGAACATTCCAACCAGAGGATGATGGAAGTGTGGCACGAGGGGCTCTTCCCCTGGTTAAACAGGTCCTTCTTGGCTGTTAGTGTCTTTGGATGAGATAGCATCCTACTTTCGGATTTTAACTTAAAACTGCAGAACTAAAAACACTTCAAGTCACTTAATGAGCACATCCAGCAAATCTTTTTCGAGACGTTTTGATCTGCAAATCTGTACGTCCGGGGTGAGGCGACACAAAGTGAATTTTCGAGCATCTCTTTGGTTGTGAAACAGCTTTCCAGCCCCCAAGGCGCAGAGGGTTGTTATCGGCAGCCTGAGGAGGGCTGAATTTCTCATCCTGCTCTCTCCTCAGGAGCTTGAGCCCTCCTGCAAACCATGCACGAAGCAGCAACACATTCAGGTTACAGCCGCAAGCTCCCAGGCTGCCCAGCCTCAGGGGGACCCAAACCCAAACCATTTCTGCTTTCCAAAGCAAGGTTACGATAATTAGCTCTGATTCAGCCCTGGAAAGAGCAATCTGAGCCCCGGTTCCCACATCGTCCCCCAGCCTGCGTGCCTTCCTACCACCCTGCCCGGCCTCCGGTAGAGTTTGGTGGCAGAGCCGTTGGCCCCGGGGTGGAGGAGAGCAGCTCGGCCGGGGATGCTCCGGGAGGGAGATGTTGGGTTTCAAACAGCCTGAGCACTCGGGGTGCGGGTGAAGACCAGCGATCACTGCCAGCTCTCTGCGAATGGCTACTGCCTCACCGGCACGTGCTGGCCGGACTCGCTGGGCTAGGCAAGTGGCAACAAGCCCCAGCAAGACCCAGTCCATCCCAGGCTCTGGCTGCCGGGCCATCCTCATCTGGTTTATTTGCTCTCCTCTCCTATTTTCAAAGACAAGCCAGAAGCCATCTGCTTGCAAACATGGCCGGACCTGCCCTGGGATCACCGACAGCGTGCTCAAATGCTACCGGCACCGCTACCTATTCCTAAATTTCCGTTTGGGCAAACCCAAGGCATTCACTGTTAAGAGTGAACATGAACCCTTAACAACATCCATCCGTTCTCCCGTGCAGCCTTCACCGCATCAAACGCGTGGCTGAAGTCACGTCCCAAAATCAAGGAGATGGCTGTTTGTCCTCTGAACATTCCCGAGAGCCTTGCACAGCCCCACGGAGAATGGGATCCATCCTCAGAGCATCACAGCCAGGTTTCCAAACGCTGAGCTCCAGGTTTTGCAGGAGCAGCGCACAGACAAGCCAGGCACCTTGCAGCTTCGGGATGGCCACAGGCTTTTTAAACGACTGCTGCGATCCCCTGGTGACACAGAGTAAATTTTAATGACCATGTTCATAACCAGAGAGAAGGGTGTAAAACCAAAATGCTGACACATCTTTCACTACAGCGACACAAATGTGCTGCTATAATATTTTTACAGTTCCTTTTTATACATAATGCATGATCCTTCTGCTCAAGTTTCTTCTACGTTCTTTTCCTGTGAAATAATTTACATTAATACATAATTTATTACAGCAGCTTGTAAAGCAATTACGGGTTTCAATCAATTTTTCTTCTCCTTTTTGGCAGACAAATTCTGTTTGGATCCTAACCCAAACATTTCTCTTCACACAGGTGTGCATCCAATTCCCTTTTTTCACATGTTGTTCCAGTCAAATTTCGGTCTCTCGGTCTCCGCGCACGGGGGAAGAGGCAGCCTGCATTTTCCACTGCCCCCTGTTTATGTTCAAGAGTTGATTTCTAAACGTGGAACAAAGTGCCACAGAGCCTTCCCATTGCAGAAATAAGATTAAAATACGATGCGCGGAGCTGTGCTTCAATGGGAAACGAAAACAACATCCCCCAAACCTACGGCTGGAGAATAAAGACGCCAGCGGGCTGCGGGCTCCTCATGCCAAGAGCCTGCACGGGGGAGGGAAATTCCCCACCTTGATGGCAAAACATGCGCTGCTCTTCAACGCGATCCTCTGGCAAGGTCTCCTTGCTCCAGCTACGCCTTGTCGGCTTTCCCGGCACGGCTTTTTCTCTTTGTGGGTTGACTGTGCTTGAACACGCACCAAGATGCTGCTCTACACTGATGGTTTTTCCAAAAAAAAAACCAACCCCGAAATCCCAGTTCAGAAACAAGAGGCGTGTGAGCCCTGCAGGTGCTTTTGGGATGCGATCGAGGGGCATTACCCTCCGTGGGCTGGCTTTTCTTCTGGCTTCTTGGCTTTCCTCCATCACCCATGCAGGGTGAAAAGCCACTTCCAGGTAAGAGGTGTGCAACGACGAGACCCAAGACTGCAACCCCCCCAGCACGCTTGCCTTTTGGACCGGTGGCGTTGCCAAACCGCATCGGTGGAGGAGCGTGCCGAAGGACAGAGAAGTTGACCTGTGAGCTTCGTCCATCACCCTGCTCTACGAGGACAAATTCTGGGGTTGCTTTCCAAGGGAAAAAACCAAATGATGGTTACTTTTTTAAAAGAGCATTTCAAAGAGGATGTATGCAGGATCCGTCCCCGATGGGCTCAAACCCATCCTCTTCCTCCCTTTTACAAGCAGGGCTGTGCACGCAACGCCCATCATGCCAGGACTCTGATCCTGCAGCCAGGGCAACTACACTTGCAAGGACCTTGTCACAGCCTCAATAAAACCCTGCCTGCAGCTTGCCTCAAAGATAATTTCTTGCTTATACAGAAAACACGAGGCCACGGCTGTTGGCATGCGCCCATTGGGTTTCTCTTAGAAGGTTGGACTATGTAGACTCTGGCGCTACTGATTTAGAAGTTGAGTGCTTATACACCTGCTAGGGAAAAGTTAGGCAATGCTGTCAATGCCTTGTTAAAATACTGTAAATTTTCTTCTGGCATCCACCCAAAGACAGAAATATTTCAATACAGGAAGTCAAAAGTATTTGGAATTTATAGTTGGAAGCATTTCACCTTTAATCTTCCTCCTAGCAAAGGGCTATACAAAGATAAAAACCAATCTTTTCAGCAATATTATCATCACACTGGCAAGAGTATTTCTTATAAATCTAAAAACCAAAAGATTATTTAAGTCACCTTGAGAAGCGGATATAACATTGTATCATCCAACAGATCGAGTCTTCAATAATGTTTACTCATATATTGAGTTATATTACAATCTATAACCGATTTTCAGATTCTCAGGGTGTTTGATACCTTACAAGGTATCCACATCTACGATGCATGGGCTTCAGTTTACTCTTTTTCCCCACCTTATGCCACGGGTAAGCAGGACCCCAGCCTTGCCATCCTGGGCCAGCTGGGTTTCTTGGTGATGGTGCATTATGCACCCCTTAGGGCTCTGACCCAACTTCTTCCTTCTCCTTCCTAGAGATAAACGCTCCTGAACCGATGTCGGTGAGAAGCTCCAGGGTTTGGATGATGCTTTCCCTGGCAGCCTGGCCAAGGCCGGGCTTCCCTCTGCCCCGCTGTCCCATGGCCACCAGGACCAGCCACGAGGTGCCTTCCTGCCCAAAGCTGCCCTCACCCCCAAAGCCAACTGAGAAGACCCCGTGCTGAGACTCTCCGCTTCTTCTGGCTAAAAACCCAGAAAATTCAGCCAGCTTCCCTTCATCCCCCCAACATCACACATGGGACTATGAGCCGTTGCCTCCCGTTGGCTGTGCTGCCAGTCCAAACTTCACTGTGCTTATTTATCTCAGTACTTTCCACCGACAGGGACTTGGCCCTTTGACCTGAAACATTCCCCCAGTTTTGCATTCGGTGCCATTATAATCATGGGACTTATTTAAAAATCAGGCAAATTTTGACACTGGATTAGTCTATGATCGTGGCCCACATTTGGAGACATCAAGAAGAATGCTGGAGAAAGATGCCTAAAATTAAACCCAAGCCAAGCAACGACCCTGCGTGCTGGGGAGACTGGATCCGCTGGACTGAGCGTGACAAAGACCATTACGTGGCAAACTGTGGTCAAGGAGGTGACATTTGGTTCCCTCGGAAAGAGGATAATTTGGTAGCCAAGGAAGACCAGCGCAGTGCTACAAAGATGCAGAAGGCTTTGTAAAAGCCCTTAAAGATAAGCTGCTTTTCAATTAGGCGTAGGCTCTTCGTATCTGTTGAAGAGCCTGCCAGTGCCACAGCACAAGACAAAACCATCTGATTGGGTTTCTTTGTTCCCCACTCACGTTTGACAGGCAGGAGAAAGGGAATGGGTTGTCTCTACCCCTTCTTGACTTCGAAACTTATGACTTTCACCTGAAAAAATCCAAATGCTTTCCATCTTCCCCTGCCCCTCCAATGACTGGAGTTATCAGAGAGCTTGGGAAATACCTCGGCAATGCATGCGCTCGGCTCCCGTTAACGCTAACGAGAGTTATGGCCATGAAGAAAAAGGGGAAGCCTCTTAGTCTGTAAAGTATTGGCTTTCGTAGCAAGTAGCTTGGCTCAAACTTGACCCACAATTTTAACTGGGTTCTGAGACTTCGCCTAGTGACTGGCACCCCCTACAAAACCCAAAGAGCGCAATGTAACAGCACATCCCCCAGCACTATCAGTTTTTCAGAATCACCGGCCAAGGCACCAATCCCCCATCAATTCTGGTGGCTGTTCAGCATAAAAATTGATAGCAAGTTCTGACATAATAGGTATTCAACATCCTGTACCACGGTTATCGTCAAAGACAAAAATAAGACATTTTCCTTATTATTTGAGGTCTGTCCAAACACTTTGTGCCAAGTGGTAGAACATCTTTGTGATAATACTGATATTTTATTACTTGCAGCGTGCAAACAGTCAAGAGCCAAGGTCATGGGCAGGATACTTAAACACAGTCTCAGACCCAAAATGCTTATAAGCTCAATTGTATGAGTTACTCTAAAAATAAGTAGCTGTATCAAAGGGGAGGGCAAAAGAGATAAGCAATTCACTCAGCAATGGCAACGGGGCAGGACAACCACCTCTGGGAAGGAGGGTGGCATAGGCGTGATGGGCACCGCTAGCAGGTGATGGGGTGGGTGCTCTCCAACCCGGCTGGGTGGGGCAAGTGGGTGGATGTACACCCCCGGGTCTGCAGGGGGGCATTTTTTTGAGAGATCCAGCCAGTCAGGACATCTTCCCACCCATCGCTATAAGGAAACGGGAGCGGAGGTGGAGTAAATACGGACAGAAGTTTCTGTTACTTACCCATCACGCCACAAGAGAAGAGGGTAGGTCCTTGACTCATCTTTGGAGTGTGCTGCAAACAACCAGAAAAACTATTCACTTCTCGCAGACTCGACCAGGGCACCAGAAACCACCCTGCCGCCAGCCTCGGCAAAGCCGTGCGGCACCCGGCGGGGAGGAGAACCTCGGTCCCGTTTTGGCAGGGATCGGGAGATAGACCCAGTCACCTTCCCTCAATGAAATCAAATTTAATTAAACGCTGCCGAGAGTCAGTGTCGAGGCCTGAGCTTGCAGATCATGACTCCTGCACCTAGTCCTTACCCACGGGCATAGCTGCAGTGAGGTCCCCAGCCCCGGGATCCAAAACACCGGACAAACTAAACCGGGAGCTGCAATTCAGCGGTAATTCTGGACTGGGCAAGAAAGCAGCAGCAGTGGTATATGAACGCCATCCAAGCCCATTAAGGCCTCCTGTCTAGGTACAAAGCGGCTATTTGGTTTTTTTTTAAACATGTAGTGTGTTTCTAAGGCAAGGCATCCTCACCCCAGCACTTCTCCTGAGGCATCTGTGTTCAGACTGTGCTGACTTGCACTAAGAACAAGGAAAAACACCACTACATGGGGCCAAAATAATCCCGGTTGCTTTTTACACTCTCTTTTTCCAAGAATTATCCTCTTGACAGCTTAAGAGACATCATCAGACTTCTAAAAAGGGACACGGACAGTTTTATATACAATAAATCAATATGGCATCTGCAGCCACATGCCACTTCAGCTATGTCTGCAAACACTTTCATACTAATTGTCCTTTTATTATCCCTCAAAATATCCATGTTCTGCTTCTGAACTATCTTTCCTGGCAACACCATCCCATCTGACCGAGGCTTTACATCATCTGAGGGAAGGACCGGCATGACCTCCCTGTTCATCTGTGCTGCCATAGCTGCGTTTTATCTGGCAACAGGCCACCGCATCCGCGCCTTCTCTCCTGATCCATGTTTTACACCTTGCCTGCTGACATAATGATGATGATAATAATAAGGTACCAAATGATAGCACCTGCCTGTACAGAGCAATCCAATAAAAGGATCCCACTTTGTATACAGAATACTGTAAATATTGAATATAAAGGGATGTGGAGGCAGAAAACAACGATGGGGTGCAGATGTGGAGAAGGTAAATAAGAGGTGGTCACCTTCTTTGGAGCATGTGTCACTTTTCTAGGTGAAGTAAGGATATTTCTATCTCTCAAGCCCCAACTTATGAAGCAGCAGGTAGAATTAATCAGGAGGCAGCAAGGACAGGTCAAAGAGTGGCCAAAGTGGAGCAAAGATGGAAGAGGGACAAGCCCCAGAGAAGGCAGCGGCTGTGCCAGCGCACATCTGCGTGCCAGCCCCACAGACCAGCTACTGCCGGCAAATGTGGGAGGGAGAGGAACATTGTTAGATGACGTATGTCCCATATTGAGTATAATTACCATTTTGTAAGAGTTTCATCGTTAATACCACATTGGGAACTGAACCAAACGAGCCCATCGGGCACTGGTAGGTGACCCTGCCCCACTGCTCAGACATTTATTTCCCTTAGGTTTTGCTTTTTGGCCTTTCCCACGAAGTCAACGGAACAACCCTTGCTTCCTCTGGTGGATCAGTCTACTTGTGAACATCTGCCTCAATTTAACAGCCCAGACAACCCAGCAATTCAACTTGTGTAACCAGGACTATCACTGCACTCTTAACCCAGCCCCAGAGCTGCGGGAGGCACTCGGCAAACACGCAAGGGCAAAGTTTCACGTTTCAGCTCTGCAGCTCCACTGCCTACCATCAAGACAGTCCGAGTGCTCATCTCTTCCCCTAATAAATAAAAGAAACTGCTTCTCATCTGCCTCTCTGCTTCGAGTTCCCCTCCACCTGCCCTGCTTCCTCCTGGGGCACGGCCGGCGTTGGATGCTCAGGCTTCCCCCTTGCCACCCCAAGCAGCAGCCGCAGGAGATGCTGCCTTCCCAGCAGGAGCCAAGACTAAAGCAAGGATATTTTTCTAATATATCAATATCCTTCCTTCCCAAATTTCACCCTTTTAAGGCAGGATTTAATGCTGCCTTTGGCTTGCTCGCCTTCTCCTCCGCTGCATACTGCCAGGACAGCCTGCCTTTGCCCCGGCACGCTGCGCTATCTGCCTGGGAAGCCCAGCCGGCCAGTTTGTCATCCTCAGCAAACGTAGGCATTTATATTTCTTTTATGCTCAAAATGCCCATTTATGGCTAATCCCGCCAGATGCTTCCTGCCCTGTTCCTGCACGCCCTTATCTGAGGCTCTCGGCGCACCCTGCGAGGAACAGCCTTTCAGTCTAATTTCTTCTCGGACTATGACCATCCCTCCTGGAGGGCAGAGGAGCAAACATCCATGACCAGCCTTGCTCTGGGCTTCCTCCGATGAGCTCTCCATCATCCCACACCTCCTCCTCCTGCCCCTGCTCCCCACCCTCGCTTGTTCCAACACGGCCCCCCGACAACGCCTTGCCCCTCATTTGCCACTACCATCGGTACGCTCAGCCCCACGGCCTCGCTCGCCCCTTCCAGCATCATTTAGCCTGTTTGCTGCCCCTGGTTTGTATTTTTTTTTTGTTGCCTGCTCATTCGGCAGAGTTGGATTTGCATCTCTCCAGGTTGCCAGTGAGACTGCTAAGTACCACAGCACTGCCCTTTGTCATCTCCCACTTAATCCTGCTCCCCGCTTGCTCATCTTCCTATTAATGACGAGCATCTGTTCGCCGCTGGCAAAGCAACTTCTCGCCCACGTTATGCACGGTGTTGACTTCATTTTTTCCTACTGCTTATTCCATTGCGTGCTGACTGAAATCCACATATGCAAAAGCCACAGCACTCCAATCATTTACTAATCACCTGCTCCTTGGATATTAATGCAGCTTGATAGAAGTCAGTGCTATGAACCATCTAAAGATCCAGCCCTGCAGCACAAAACCCCCTCATTACAAAGCCAAGCTCTCAGCAGCAAAAGAGTTTTGAACAAAGATTTCACAAAGCTTACCAGCTCAGTCCTGCATGTTACGGAGTCAGCACCTTTGTTTTCCCGAGTTTTGGTTAAGATCATCACCATGGTAATGCAGTCCTGCCTCAGAGTCCATCAGGGTCCAGGCGAAGGGCACCGGCAGCCGTGGTCTGGCAAAGTTCCTCTTTCAGTCCATGTTCCCCCGGGAAAAGCTCGGCCCCGCCGGCTCCTCGGGGGATGCGCAGGAACAGCCTCCGAGCGTGGAAAACTCCCTGCATGCCCAGAAAGAAAGGAACAGCTTTAAGGGACTTGCCTGGGGGGGACGTGGGATGGAGGGTGGGTGCACTGGGCAAGGGGCGAGCGCTGCCCGAAAAACACCCCGACAGCGGTTACTCCGTGGGCGTATTTATTTTAGACTCTCGAATATTGTTGGTGTTCCTCTGCAGCCCATCAGCGCAGAGGTGTTTCACGGGACGGGCACTCACACCGGCTGTTGGAAGCACGTAAGGTGCACAAAGCTATCTCGAGGGACAGAAGTATTTCAGGCAAGCAAATAAATACATAAATAAATGAAGTTTCCTGTGAATTCTCCTTTTGAGAAAGAGAACTCGTATCTCCTATATACCTGTGAAAGAAGGGCTCATTAAAGCGCCAGGGTTGGAGACCAACTTGTCCCCCAGACCAAGTGGGAGCAGATGTCCAGCAGAAAAAGCCGCTCCAGCATCACTACGGCTATGAAATCCCCTGGATGCCCCTATCCCACCCCAGTCACTCCCCGATTCCCAACCTATGAAGAGCCCTTTGGCAAAAAAAACAAGGCAAAGAGTTGCCTGCAAGGAAGGAGAGAGCTCTCTGCCCTGAAATCCTAAGGGTCACACCATGCCTCCTGATCCTTCCCTATATCTTAGCTAGTTTTAGTTAGGAAAAGCTAAAGGCTGCAAAATGAGGAGCGCATGTTAAAAAACGAACTGCAAGCCAGGCTCAGACGGCATCGCGCAGACCTGACCATGAGCTCTGCCTCACCTCCGGGCATCCTCTCTGATAAACTAACTCCTGTGTAAAAGCAGACAGATTGCAATTTAAATCTGATTATAGAAACCAGTGTTTTCCCCAAATCACTCCTCTAATCCTGTTTCGCGATTTTGTTGCCCCGCAGTTAACGCAAACAACCAAACCCACCGTTCGCATGATCCGAAGAGCGTAAAACACTGAACTTGTAACAATGCAGTCAAAACCCAATCGCGATACTCAAGGACAATATTGGAGAATATGCCGCTAAGTATTAAACCTCATTACGAACTGATGTGGCTTCTCTTCCCAGCTTGTAAATCATCTTTTCCGCGTTTACTTGGATTAGAGCTCGCCATGGTGTTATGAGTAGCTCATTTGAAGGCCAGCTGGCTGGTAAAGAAAAATCACCTTCTATTATTTTATGAGGACAAAGTTCATCCAGAGTGCAAAGCCAGGATTGGGAATCAATAGATTTTCCAAAGATTTACTGTTCCCAAGGGCAGCTGGTACAGTCTCCAGCTTCTTATGGGACCTCGGTGGGCTTATAATACACAATTTACCGGTAGCTTCGTCATAAAACCCTGGGCAACCCAATGATCAAATGGATACCACCAAAGAGAAAAGTAAAGCATTTCAGACCGTCAAAATGACACACAATTTGCGTGCCCAGATCACATATTTATACTACGGATAGCTTGGGTTCCTGCAAGGAGAGCACGATGTAAGGGAGGATGGGGTGGCTGGAGGACCAGTTGACTAACACGCCAACGTGCCCCCATCACCGGCGGGCTGCAGTTCCCTGGAGGGACCTCAGACACCTCTGTTACAGCACGTGGACCCCCAAAGTTACGCTCAGGAGGCTCGCCGAGCCCTGCGCTGGGGCTAGCTTGGGGACATCAAGCTGTTTTCCAGGAGCAAGCAGAAAGAGTCGCTGTACGGTCATTAATAAGCTCCACGGGAGTTTTACACTTCTGCATTTTGACAGGGCTTGCATCAAACATATCGGTATGCAGCAAAACCCAGAGGTCCCGTTCAGGAGGGATGGCTGCTTACACCAGGCTCTGAACAAACCCGAGGCGAGGGGATGCTCCCCAAAATGGGCTGCACGTACCAGGGAAAAGATGGGGGCAAACGAAAGATGCATGGAAGTGAGGCCCAAATAACAGAGAAAGAGCAATACAGGGGAAAACAGCAACGCTTGTGGTACGCTCGCCGCTGAAGCCTCCAATGTTTTACAGCACGATCCCAAACACCGGTACGGGGCCGCAGCAGCACAACGTGGCACCGCCGGCAGCTGCACAGCACCCCATCCTTGCCGCCTCATCTCCTTTTCCTTCTCGTGACAGCTCTCCCTGCAATGTTGGCTCCATCAAATACCACGGTTGAGTCGCAGACCGAGGACAGGGAGTAGGGCAGCGGCTGCCCTCACCGACGTCTGAGCCCGGATCTGCCAGAATAGAGCTCCCATTCCCCAAGGAAAAATCCCCTTCCTTTGGTAGGAAGCCCCCCAGGGACCGGTGTGCCCACAGCAGCCCAGCGGTCGAGAGGTGCTTAGATCCCAGTGCATGCCTCTGAGCCGGGGAAGCTGAGCCAGGTTTAAAGCCCCCGCCCAAGGACGAGGAGCAGGAGGCTCTTTGGGAGGCACCAAGCTTCCCCCAGTGCCGGGGAAACCCCCGGAGCTGAGCTGGCAGTGCCCTCCCGCTCCCCTGCACCACACCATAGATGGCTAAAGCACAGCACGGGCACTAAAAACACTCGAGGTTTATATTTTTATCTGCCACAACCTCAGTTGTCCCTGATCCCGACGCAGAGATAGGGATGCTGGCCACGGGGTCAGACTCACCGTATCTGGGATGACGCCGGGACCATCACCGATGCGGCGGCGGCACGGGGAGCAAAGATCAAACAAGCGTTCAGAGTAGCATGAAAGCAGTTAAGCACGGTTCTTCGTTAAGAGGGTACGGTTTCTTTGGGAATGATGATCTTT